TAATGTTCACTCATCAGTGCGTTACATTTCAACTGATTTTGACCCATTTTAGTAGATCAGGCATTGGAGGAGATGACAGAGATTAAATGTATTTCGTTCAAGAAATAAAAATCTTGAACTGAAAAGCCAAATAACTAAATAAATTAAACCAAATGGGGGCAAAACGAACCACTCACTCGTGCAGTAAAAAAATTATAGTAATTCAAATGGGGAAATCGCAGAGGAATTCACTCATAAATAAATCGACACTAGCTAGTTTCAAGTCCTGAAATGAAAGCCGAATTCTGAGGTGAAAATTACCTATACGAATTTATATGACAATTCTCGCTTCCGGATCTCTTCAAGCCGAGTTTCTCTGAAAAAATTCTTAACTTCCTTCAAGTTTGTTTGCTGGAAATTCAAATACATATATATTTTTGCTGAATCTTTCTACCTCAATTGAAGAAGTGAAGAAGTGGAATTAGGTTGTCGAGAGGGAATGAAAATTTGGGGGAAATAGAAAGTAACAAACGTGGGGAAAGGTACTGTTGGAATGTTAACCCAAAAAAAAAAAAAAATTGTATTTTCCCTTTTTCTTTTTTACTTATCTTCTAATTAAAATCAAATAAATATTTTGTGGGGATTAAAATTAGAAATATTGAAATAGCAATTGAAAAATATTTCATTAATTATTAGCCTATAAATATGTCAAATATTTTTGTAGGCAAAAGATATATTTGAATTAAGAAAATGTGATAGGGATGGAAGGAAATAAGTTAAAAGGGAATAAAATCATGCATTATTTACTTTTTTCACGAACTTTCAACGACAACACTTAATCGGTCGTTGAATGTCACCTTCAACGACTATGTCTTATTAGTCATTGAATGTCGAAAACTATTTTGCGCCAAGCTAAAGTTGTAACCAAGTTGTCATAAACTTCCAACGATTAAAGCATAATCTGTCACTGAATGTCACCTATAACGACCGCTAAATAAATCGTCGTTAAATGTCGAGTTTTTCTTTAGTTTCAACGATGAGATAAAATTGGTTGTTGTTTACTATTATTAACGACCAAACATTATGGTCATTGAATTTTTACTATATTCTTTGTGTTGTTAATAACCAATTTTATTGTCGTTGAATTTGAACAAATATTTTGGCGAGATTATTTTTTTTGGCGCCCTCTCATAACGGCCAATTTTAATTTGGTCGTCGAAAATATAGATTTAACAACCATCTTTTTGGTCGTCGTAGGATATTTCCAACTACTTTAAATTTCGATTCTTCATCATCCAATTTCTACGACGAAATGTATAAGTTGGTCGTTGAAAATAATACTTAACGACCAGATTGATTTGGTCGTTTAATATATTAGTTGTTAAATATCATTTTTCTTATAGTGAAAGTCGTGATTTCTATGAAATATGTGTTTAATTTTATTATTATTATTATTATTATTATTATTATTTTGGTTGACTACGACTATGACCCACCGAACAGGGGCATGGAGAATGTGCAATAAAAGTAAATTTATATAGAAAGAAAACATTACTTTTTTTGTCCACAAATATTCTTTTATTACAATTTTTCCATTCTTTAAACGATTTTTAACGTATCTTGTCAATATGAATATTCATATTCATTGCAATAATTTTGTTAATTGAAATTCATGTAATCTGTCAATATTAATTCTAGATGTTTAATTGTGTCGTTGAGAAATATAATTTTACGTCAATTCTTATTTTGAAGCCACGACATGATCAAACATAATTGATTTAAACTCCAATTAATTAATTAATTATTGCACGGCTCAACTCTTGACCGTTCAAGTTTAATTATTGTTTTGACTTTATCACTAACGATCGAAACTTCACTCTTAAATTAATTCAATTTATCGAATCTTTTCAATAATTAACTCCTCTTGACATGTCGTTAACAATTCGTCCCAGTCTATTGTTAAAATAATTATAAGGGACTCTTTGACCAATCAATCAGTTTTAATTATTTTACATAGTATCACAAGTTCCATTTTTCACTTTTGCAATTTATTGTGATTGCATTACAATTATGAGTTCGACAATCTTATAGTTAAATTAAAGAGCTTATATTAAATTGCTTGTTAGAAAAACACTCATGCTAATGACGTTCCTCTGAAAAATGGTGACAAATTCGTACTTACGAAAATATATTCTCTAATTAATTCATTCTAACTTTTAAAGTAGAGAACAATCAATTAAAGCATCTTGTTTGTGCTATGATAGGGCTTTGTCAAGTGGTCTTACGATGCAAATTTATCCGTCATCTGTTTTATTCCGGATGAAACTAGAGTGCATAATTTTTGATGAATTAGTCTGAACTCATAATTATATTCGAAACATTTCTAGAATACTTTACTTGTGGTTAGCTGAGCTGGCTCTTCATTGTTATGCCCTGAAGGAATTGGAATGAAAGTTCCATTTGGGTAAGAACTATTTGTGGTATATATATGTAAGCTACTCTGTTATTTGAGATTCAAAAAAAATATATATATTGAACCTGAATTAAGCGTTGGCTTGAATTTAAATGAAGTTCATGGTTCATTATTCCTTCCAAGATAGATTTTTCATATGAGATGAGCTTAATCATAAGAAAAGAAAGGTTTTGATTCGTCTTTGCTTGAGGTTTCGCCCATTGTATTACAAGTGAAATTTCAGTATTTGAATATCTCTTCTTTGAAATGGCTCCAGCTGAGTTCTTGGCCTCACCCTGTAGGCTGGGAAAACATGGAAAAATATCAAGAATAACTGGGGATGATTTTTGCTATTGATCTGTTGTGTTTTGATGTTTACTTTTGTCTTGCAACAGCAAAGGATCTTTGCTCCACATTAGGGAGGACTTGCACCAAAGTTCTGAAGCTGATCTTTCATACTAGGAGGCAATCTTTATGGTTGCACAGAATCAATCGGCATTTCATGGAGAACGAGTTTTCAAACCCCACGCTTCAACAAATGGGATAAACTTGGTGAATATCTAGGACAAGACGTTTAAATGCCTCGGCATCTGAAGATGGATGGATACGTTGATGATTTGTGATAGCGTTTGCAGTTGGCATAATTCGTGATGGCGAATGCATTTGCTTTAGCAAGTGGATCTTCGCATTGTTCAAAAGATAATCGTCGACAAGCCCGCTGAAGCTAGTCTACGGGCATATTGATAGCATTATCAAGATCTTAAGGTTTCATTTTTGGCTATCTTGGTCTGTTTTTCTCTTCTGTTGAACAAGGTACTGGAAACATTGTATTTACTATAAGTGAACTGTGAATGTACAGCTTTTCTTGGGTACAAGGTTTCACTATTCAAGGGTTGAGTGACACGCACACCTCTCATTCAAGCATGGCTTTTAAAGGCCATGTAATTCTAAACTAAAATTATTCATTTCGTCGTAGTTTTTTAAAATCCTTCTCCATGTGAGGAATGCCATCACGCAACTTGATCTTCGTTTCCTAGCGTAGAAACTCCTTTGTGTTTGTTATGTGTTCTCTCTTGCGAGGATCGTTTGGAGTATCTTCAATACTTCTGATTTAGACTTCTGGATTGATTATATTAGCCAATGTTTGGCTCCCATTATCTCACATAAATCAATTTTTTTCTTATTTTTAACCATACATTATCTAAAATATTACTATTTCAAAGTTTTTTTTTTTTTTTTTTAAACTACATTTCCATGCAAGTATTGATCACTTGTGCCACACACATTAACAACTTTTTAGTTCCTAAACAAGCTTTTGAGATTATTTAGTCAATGTTCTTACAAAACAATGAAAATCTATTAATTTTGAAAGAATGTACTGTGCTCCTATAAATCTATTGAGTAAGATTTGTCTAGTTGAGAATTAAAATTATGAAAAATAGTCTATTTTTTGCATTTCAAAAACTTAAAAATTGCACAATTGGCTAATTGTAGTGATTATAAAGTAATATAGTATTTATAATTTTAGATATTTGATAGGTTTTTTTTAATTATTAAATAATTTTCAAAATGATTAAAAATTAAAAATAATATTAAAAATAAGAATACTTTTTTTTTCGCCTAGACGAGCTTGTAAAGCTTGAAGTTAGACATCCGTGCTTGGTCAAATTTTACGCTTTTTAGAATATTGTTTTGGATAATTATATTCGTACCTATGTCCTTGAACGATTTTTCATATTATTCCTTTCCTCAAACTTTTCATTTGTTAACATATTTTATATTTAATAACTGTTGACATGGCGTAAACAACTTACTTTCCCATCTTATTTTTAAGAAAAACAAATAAATAAAAAGTGCAAAAAAAATATTTCCATCTTTTCAAAACATGAAAATAAAATATTTTCATATAAATTATAATCAAGGACGAGACATCCTAATTAATGTAATGTTGAAGATAAGAATTTAATAGAGAAAAAGGTAAGAAAATAATTTTTACGATGAGTAAAGATGAGTAACGATGGAGGAGTTTAACTACAATTAAATTATGAGTAAATTTTAATCCAGCTGTCAATTTTGCCCTCCATTTGACCGAATTCATTTTTTGAGTACCTGGATCGTATTTGTGCAGTGTGGGGCCAAAGAAGTTTTTAGGGGCGATTTATATTATTAATGTAATTAAATAGATTCATTGGTGGGTCCTACAAACGGCTCCCACAACCAGGTTTCAGTTTGTTAGCCCTTTCTAACTACACCTTTTTTACGGGCGATTTCTATTATTAATATAATAAATAGATTCATTGGTGGGTCCTACAAACGGCTTCCACTCCAGGTTTCAATTTTCAGCCCTTGCTAACTACAGGTGGCAGCATCCTTGTTAATTAAACAATTCGTTGGTGGGTCCTACAAACGGCTTCTACTACTTACAAATGATCCAATCGCCTAATGCATGCTTAGCCAGCTATGTATTAGCTGGCTAAGTATGCATAAACTCAATCTACACACCGTGTGAAGGTCGATTTATGCATTATAAATAGAGAAGCCCCAGTCAAAGCGGAATCATTTCTCATCTCAATAATCATTTTCCATATTGAACCTCCGAGTGTTCTGTCACTGCCTCTCTCTCTAAACTCTCACGGTTTTTTCTCTCAGGTATGTACAATCACCTCAAATTTTAGGTTGTAATCATTTAACTGCTCACGTATATATGTTCTCATTTGCCCAACCACGGTTTTTTTCCGTTATAAATTCTTCTTGGTTCATACATGAATTTACTCGTAAAATCAGATGTATTATAATCTTGACTGGCTGTAGGGATCAAAAGCTAGAAAAAGAAATGGGGCAGACATTGACGAAGCTGTTCACCCGGGTTTCTCCGAAGAAGGAAGCGCGCATTCTCATGGTTGGTCTTGATGCTGCTGGTAAGACCACCATCCTGAACAAGCTGAAGCATGGAGAGGTCTTACCTACCTCTCCAACCAACGGTATTATACATTCGTGCAAACTTAGCAACTCTGTTTCTTTCAGTTGATTTTCTTGCTAACAAATATTGATCACATGCTGCTATGCAGGTTTTAACGTCGAGACGTTTGAGAAAAATGACGTCAACTTCACCATTTGGGATTTAGGTGGTGGGGACACGGTAGGTGGGGCCCAGGCCCAGATCCAATTGCTATGTATTAATTCATTCAAATTAATCTATAGCCCGTGTTCTAATTGGTCAATTAAGGCATTCAAATTAATCTATAGCCCATGTTCTAATTGGTTAATTAAGGCATTCAAATTAATCTTTAGCCCATGTTCTAATACGGAATAGCCCGCGTCCAAATCCAAAACCTAGATACTGTCATCCTAACTTTCTCGCTCTACATTTCTCCTCAGTTCTCTATCTGTCTTTGGTTCTCCCCACTCCCCAGTCTCCTCTGTCAATGTCTTTCTCTTTGGCGAATTTATATTTAGGAAGAGTAAGAGAATTGATTTCCATTTGGATCCAACCCATTTCACATTTCACAGATCCGTCCGTTGTGGAGGAACTACTTCCAAAACACCCAGGGGATCATATTTGTGGTTGACAGCAATGACAAGGATCGTGTTGCGGAGGCAAGGCATGAACTGCACAAGATGTTGGATGAGGTAAATTTCCGGTCTTAACTGTTATTCATATGAAACACACAGAAAATGAATTAAATTGGGAAGAATTTTTGGGGCGAAGATACCTAAGGGTCCGTTTGATTGTAAAGATGAAATTTGGGTGGCAAAAAAACAAATTTCAGAGAATTGAATTGTCTAAACTTTTTTTTTTTACTGGAAATTATCAATTATGGTGTTTGATTGATATAATTTTTCACGTGAAAAATATTGAGATAAAAGTATTTTTTTGTATTCGTTTAGCTTTATTTTACATGAAAATTGTCAATTAAAGGAATAAAATTTACTGGTATTGAGGATAGAATTTGTTTCTATTGCCAAAAAAAAAATCAAGAAAATCATTTATCTTTCAGTATTCGTTTGACTTTGTTTTGCATGAAAATTGTCAATTAAAGGAAAATATTTTTTTATAATTAGGGATAGAATTTGTTTCATTGCCACAAAAAAAAAAAAAGAAGAAGAAGAAAAAAAAAAGGCAACTGTAGCCTAGAAAATCAAGGAAAGTGGGAAAATCAATTACTTGAAAGCAAAAATAAAAAAAATAATAATTTCTATCAAATAGCAAAAAAGTGAAAGTTGAAATTCGAATTCCATTTTCTATGAAAAATAAGTGCCTATCAAACAGTCCTAAATTCCCTAAAGAATTTAGATCTAACAGAATTTCATAGATCAAAATAGGAAAATTCTAAAAGTACCAGCAAAGCTTGTCAAAATGTCAAACCTAATCATAATAGTCTTTGATCTAATCTCTAAATCCTAAAAATTCCCATCTTGTCCATTTTATATCCCACTATCTTAACAAAGTAGATTTGCCGTTGATTAAATTATTCTTAACTACAATTTCGGTCAAAAACTAATAGAAATAGTTTGTCTTATTTTTTTGATTTTTTTCTTTTAATTATATGAAAACAATAAAAGATATATATTTTTTAATGATTGTTAAGTGTCAGGATTCTTGAATTACCAAATTTTGCACTTTAGTCCGTTTTTTCATTCTCTCCATAAATTTTGGTCATTCACTTTAAATTACGCATTTTGGTCTTTCAACTTATATTCTTGTGCAAATAAGTCCACATTCCATCCGGTGGCCAAATCATATTTCTTTCTTTCCCAAATACTTAGAAACAAAAAGAAGTTAAACAAAATTAAGTAGAAACCAACACTTTGTTGATATGAAGCTTTGTAATAAGGTTCGGATAAGTGCACAAAATGCACGTATCAGCAGGGTTGGCGCTAAGGAGCGGGGGTGAGGGGTATTCGAAGCATTACACTTGCTATTACCCATTTCTGATGCTATTTGTGCATTAAACTCGTTAATTATGTTGGTTCAAATTCAGGATGAGCTACGTGATGTTGCATTACTTGTATTTGCCAACAAACAAGATCTCCCCCATGCAATGACTATTGCTGAAATAGCAGACAAGCTTAACTTGTACTCGCTGAGGAAGCGTCACTGGTAAACAAATCTTGGTTCTTTATTTCCATTGGTCTTTGTTTATTGGTTTTTTTTTTTTTTTTTTTTTTAATTTTTTTTTTGGTTTTTTTTTTTTTGTTTTTTTTTTTTTTTTTTTTTTAAAACCTTACTTGGTTTCGCTTGCTTCCAGGTACATCCAGAGCACCTATGCCATGTCCGGAAAGGGGCTTTACGAGGGTCTCGGCTGGCTGTCCAAAGCCATTCCTTACAAGGCAAGTTCTGTTTATTCTTCAGTGTCGATGCGCTTTCTTCATTTGTATTCGATTCAATTTCTTATAGTCGCTCCCTTCTTGTAGGCATGAGGTCTGAGCTGATGCCGAGTTGGAAGTTCAGGTTTATCAATTATTAATCATGTGTGTGTGCCAGTTTATGGATCTTTCTAATTTTTGTTTAGAACTTCTTATGCTGCTGTATCAATGAGTTTTGATGTGTGTTATTGCAAACATATGTTCAGATATATATAATTCTCTTGAGACCTTATTTGGTTTGGATTAAATTTTTGTATCCCGTATTTTTAATGTTTAATATTTGCTTTTACTAGAATCCACTTAGATTTGGATCCTAACACTCCAATTAAAAGTTGAGGAAATTACATAAAACCCTACCTTAAAAATTCAATATTCTAAAATCAGAGTGGAACTTTCATAATTCAAAAATCAGATTTTTTTTATATTAATTATTTAAACAAACAAATAAAAAGGGAAAATCAAACCCCTACCCATACCCAAACTCGTAATTCTCATCCTCCTCCCTACCCAATTTCTCTCTGTACACCGATTCTCTTCTCTCTATCGGTGCCGGGAAAACCTCGCAGCGTTGGGTGTCGATGGCGGTTGCAATCGGTGACGAAGGAGATGTGCCGGTACTGGATGGGGAGTCGACATTCGTGCTGTTGCTATCTCTCTTTTCGATCTACACTTCCGTGGGTTTTTTGTTGGTGGTGCTGGTGAGGTGTTGATGGTAGTGCAATCGGTCAACAATGGTGATGTGGTGTTGTGGATCTAGGTATGATACAGGCGATAGTCCATCAGAGCAGAGTGCTCGAGGTCGAGATAGTGATTTGCCAATCGCCGATAGAAAGGCGCTTTGCGATGGTGGCAGTACTATGGTGGCGGTGGATCTGTGGTAATGATGGTGGATCTATGGTGGTGGTTTTGGCGATGATGGGTTGCGGTGGTGCTGTTACTGTTACAGGTTATAGGAGCGTAGTGGCGGTGGTGGTGGTGGTGCGGTAACGTGGGTAGAGGTGGTGGTAGTGTTTTTTTGGTTGTTGGAGTAGTAGTGGTGGTTTGTTGTTGGGAATTTGGGTGGATTTGGCGTTGATGAAGCTAGCGGTGGTGATGGATTTGGTGAGGTGGTGGTTGGCGGTGTTGCAGTGGTTGAAAAAAGTGTTTGTGACCAATTACATTATTATCAATAAATTGTTAATTTGTAATCAGTAAATAATATGTGGCCGAACATGTGACCATGACTAAATTTATAATATGTGACCTAAAATTTGTGACTGTGACTTATAATTGATTAAGTTGTGACCTAAAAATTAATCGTGACCAATTAATCTAATAATTTGAAATGAATATATGAGTTGTGACCAATAAAAATTTTGATTTTATGACTAATGAATGCTTTGTGACCTATTAAAGTTCTCTATGTAACTTTTTCACCTGGTGACATTATACGTTCTTCTGCATCGGTAAACTAATCGCACTCCCGCAGATTGTAACTATGTAAATTTTACATCTTTCCTTCATAGCAACAATTTACATGAACTAAGTTCTTAGCCCAATTATCATCAAGAGATAAAAGTCATAAAACTAACTATTATACCACAGAAAATTATATAATTATTCAACAAATTCGCTCTAAAATGTGAAATTGAAAAACTTTACAATACCTCCATCGGGAAGAGAAACAGCAGAATTGCATTTTCTTGACAAATTTACAGACAGCTCACAGTACTGCCTTTCATATCCTTCATAAACCTTGCTCATCTTTCCTCCCAAATCCCTAATCAATTCAAAACCCAGAATTAAAGATCGTCAAATCTTTGATCAAGCAAAAAGTTTATCACAGTTCAATTATGTAGCCGTTGCCACCCGCTCAAATTGAAAAAATCAGTTAATTCAAATTCAAGAAACTAAAGAAACAAGAATATTAATCAAACCAAAAGACCAAGATAATTATGTAAACAGCTTGGGGAAGCAGTAGCAGGAATAAAATCAATTTGCAAAGACAGAAACGAATAAGTTAACTTGGATCAGAAGTGAGTCTGATGAGCGAGAAATTATTGGGAGGGCCTATATTCCAGAGGGACTTGGAGGATGGAAATTAAAAACTTAAAAAGGGTAGAAACAAAGAAAGCTTTACTCTGCTGTCCACAACTTTTTAATTATTTATAAAGTTAACTGTATTTTAAAATGAAATTTGTACAAGAAATAAAATAGTCTACTTATTCACATCATATACAACATTTTGAAGATAGTTTTTTGATTTGAAAATGGAAAGACCTATGTAGTTGGAAATCGAAATCAACACTTCTCCTTATGCGTGTTGATTTGTTCGTAGAAAAAAATGTTAGAAGAAGCAAATTTCAAGCGTCAACAAGAGCCGTCCTCATTATTGACATTTTACCATTAGTCACATTACTCGTCACTGAAGGTTTCACCATACACGAAATAAGGATCACAACTTATTATTATTTATTTATTTATTTATTTATTTTTGCTCTCACGCTACACATAATGTTCCCTAAGAATCGAGACATTCATGTTCAAATTTTAAAGTTTTTAGGATATCTATCAAAATCTTTTGATCAAAGTTAATTTTGAACAGAAACTCAACACGTGGTCTTTGTTAGTGATTTCAATTTAATATATATTTCTCTGTCTTTAACCATTATATTACAAAAGAAAATAATAGGTTTCAATGGAAGTAAAGTAGCTTTTCTAAAAATAATAATAAATAAATAAATAATAAAGTTGAACCCCAACCTTGAGGGTCCCCACCGCCCCGCTCTTAGAGCATCATGAAAGAAGTAAATCACGGGATATAACCCAGCAGATCAGAGAATAAGAGTTTGCTCGTATACTGGTGCCTACAAAGAGTCCAATTCTATATTTCGGGAATCGAACCCTCACACTGGGGCTACCAGCAAGGCTGAGACTACCTCACTCTTATACTTTGTACCACTGAATTATATCCTGGGGGCATAAAGTGGCTTTCTATACTTACAAGAAGAGTGCTTTCTATAGACAAGGGGAAGGATTTATATGGTGGAAGTTTAGGTTGGTTTCAAACGAGATCCTACATCTTTTTTTTCGGGGTACTAGAATTGTGATTTTTTTTTAAAAAATATGGGGTTAAAAAGTTAAAAAGAAAAAAGAAACAAGAATTAAATTTACATATAAAATAATTTTATTTAGAGAATATGTAACTAAAAATGAATTTATTAAACAAATAACCATTTTTATTCAATATTTTTTATGATATTTTTTGGATCGTTACAAAAAAACACGCGTTTTTTTTTTTTTTATTGAGTTCCACAAACCATATTTTCTCTACTTTGGGATGTTCCTAGAAGACTTCAAATCCATGGAAAAATTGGTTCACCGTGGAATTGCTAAAGGATTTCAATTTTTTTTTTTTTTTTTTTTTGTTTTAAACTAGTATTTTCATCCCATCAAAAATAAGCTCCCATGCATTCTTCAAATTAATTGAAAATTGCTGCAGAATAAGCTTCTTTTTTCTATTTCTTTTTTAAATCCATATTCTTCATTCAAAAGGAATCTTTACTTACCAAGAGCCGTAGTCCTAATTAAATCCTATTTCCACACGATTTTACATTAAAAAATTTATATATACACTTACATTTTTATTTCAGAGGCGGATTTAATGCATGGCCAGCGCCCTAGTTGGATTTGTTAGGGAGAATTTTTTTTTGTTGATAATAGATAAAAAATTTAGGTTATATAACTGGTAGTTCATCTTATTTTTCAAACCCTCTTTTGATTAGTTGGTTAGAGCTTGTATTTTTATATTGCAAGTCTTGGGTTCGATTCCTTTCCGTCCATTTCATTGTGCAAAATTTTTATTTCTACAATATTTATCAAAATTAATTCTCTAAAGAAAAAATTCGAACATATAACTTCTAGTTTGGATAATTGATAGCTTAACCATCATGGCAATAGTTGAATTTTGAATCTAAATTTAACAAAATAATATATGTTAAGACTCTAGGCTACTCAATGACTATTTTTTTTTTTTTTGTTGGTTTTTGTCGTTTTAAATATTTGATGATTTAATAATTCATAAGATTTGACTTATGAGTATTACGTTTTAATTTATATGTTATTTGAGAATTTGTCTACTATGAATTGTGATATTAAAAATTTATTTGAGTATCATGAAATGTGAATATGTAATTTATGAAAATTGAAAATAAGAAACTGGGGAATTTATATTTTGTGATGAATTGGTGTTGAGAATTGGAAATTGAGTTTAATTATATTTTAAAGTTAATTTTAATTACGTTTAATCTTTGATTACCATTCAATTCTCATACTGATTATGGAATGATTTTTCAACTAAATCTCAATATAGTTCTTGTAGTGGTGTATTTAATCTCTCAACTACTTTTAGTCAAACAAATGATTTGTTAAGCATTGATAACACAAATAAGTCTTATGTGTCATATAATTTATATTTTTCCGAATTGTATTGAAATATGATATGATATAAATATACAATTTTTATATTTTAGTGTATTTATTTATAGATCGAAGAATTTTTAATATTATTTAATTTAATATTAATAAACGATAATGCTATACGGCTGTTGACTATCGACAGTCAATTGCCAACAATCAACGACCGCCCTAGTTGAGTTGAAATCCTATATCCGCCCTGTTGTAATCAATACATTGATAATTTTCTCTCTCATTACATCTGTAAGCAATATTCATTGGTTTACCACAAAAAATCTCTCTCTCTCTCTCTCTCTCTACTGCACTTTAAATCTTTTATTGATCTTGAATATGTACTACTGCCACTGGGGCACATCGATAAGTGAAGAGGGTTTTTCAGAACCAGAGGATGGTATGAATACTGAAGTGCGATTCAATTTTCATATTTCCTGGTCGAGGAAAGGAAGTGATGAGCGTTACCAGTCAAATCGAATCCAATTTTCGGGCTGAACCTTGGGAAAAACATTTTTCCTAGCATGATCTTTCGATCCACCCTCATGGTACTTCAAGACAATCCCAATCTCTCACTAATAGGCTACGAGGTTTCGGTATTAGCCTTTTGATTTTGCGCTTCAAGGCAAAACAATCTTGGATCTTATGCCTATCTGGCATTAACTTGGAACCGCATGCATTTTTGCTTTTAATTCCATCAAGATGTTTTGAGAAAGAAGAAAGAAAGGAAGTAATCAGTGTATCAAGATGTCAATCTAAGATCTTATTTCGATTCAATACGTCCAGCTCAGGCTCATCCACGGGGATTGCCCCATTTGCTTGCTTTAATCTCACTTACTAAGAAAAGCTTGAATGGCTTGGTAAATCATCAAGTCAAGTTTTACAAGGGTGCTCAAGAATTAGAATCATTTTTAGTAAAATCAAGTGTTGGTTTCAAGATCATAGTTTGCATAATAAAACGTTTATCCAAGAATTAAATTATTACAGAAAATGGAAGAACACAGATTTTTCACCCTTAAGGCCTAGATGTTTAGCCAAAAGCCTACTCACTCGTTGACCATCTATAAATGGGATTACGCATGAATCCACTAAGAATCACGAAGAATGGTACAAGAAATGTATGAAGAAATCTCTTCAATCTAATTTCATTTCACCTCTCTTATACGAAGACACTCTTTTCACAGTCTCTAAGAATGTACACCAAATACAACCAAGAAAGCATCACTAATATTTTACAGAGATTGAACTAAAAAACATGAAGAAGATGAAGAGTTTAATGCACTCAGAGAGAAGAAGACGAAAACCTAGAATATGCACACAGTTCTTGTACAATGAAGAGTGGAAAGAGGCTTATATAGTCCACCCAAAAATATCACATCCAATGGTCATGGGCATGCCATATGTAAGGCCAGAATCAATCGACCACTTAGGGCAAAAGTCGCATTTCCAAAAAACATGTTTTATCAAAGTAAAAGACCCGGTGGCTCAACACAGTAAAGCCCAATGACGAATGCAGAGACCCAATACCAAAATAGTGGGGCAGCCAAAAGCACAACATCAAATCTCGCTCATGTCGATTTTAGGGCAGTCGATGATGAGTTAAAACAGCTTCTATTGTCAGAACTCGAAAGATATAGCATAAGAAATCAGAGCTTTAAAGAAGAAATTGCTGATAAGTTAATTTACAATGGACGAACCAGGGATATGGCTGTTGGGGATAGAACCAATAACACAACCAAAGCAGCGGAATATAATTTCAACCCCTCCAATAAACAGAATTAAAATGGCAGTAAAATTAATAACCAATACTCGACTCCAACACTCACACACACTTGCATGAAATTGAAAGATAGAACATCAATATTTGTTCACTAGGGAAACCCTTCAACGTGAAGGAAAAACCCCGGGACCTAGTCCAGTAAAAGCCATCCACTATCAAAATAATGGGATACACAGTTAACTTCTCCAAAGCACACTCTAGAGGCTACCAATACATCAAGAACGCATATATATTCTTGGATATCAACAACAACATCATACTAAAATAGATACACACACAATAAGGAGAAAATCTCACTAAACTAGTGTATGGAGCCCAGAGAAATGGAGAGGAATCTGGACAATCAGCTCTGGTCAAAATGTAGCTATCTTTGCCAAAAATAACATACTGAAATTTCAGCTAAATTGGACCATGGATGAATCTCGATTTTTGGCAAGAAGAAACTGAATTGCCGAATTCTCTCTCTCTCTCGTAACTCTATGCTCTTTTAAGAAAATCAGGCTGCCTTTGTTTTTGAATAATATGCTGCCCAATTTTTTTAGCCTTTTGTATCTATATTTGTTTGTTTGACTTGGGTCATTAAATGAGTTTGGGCCCACATGGGCCAATACCAATTAAATGGGTATGTTCCCTCACGTGGAGGGAACACCCAACAAATCTCCCCCTCCCGACTACGTGAGGAACTCCACCAAGCCCGCTTTCCTTCTATATATTTGTAGTTTTCCATAGGCAATGATTTTGTCATCATATCTGAATCGTTCTCATCAGTATGTTTTTCTCAATTTGTAACTTCTTCATCCCCAGTGCATCTCTAATCCAATGATACCTCACTTCAATATGTTTGGATCTTGAGTGGAAAGTTGG